CCCCCCATTTTTTTACATCAGGCAATATGACATGTCTGATGCACAATAAGTGTCAATATTTGTTATTGTTAAAGGACTGTCTCATCCATAACTTGAGAGGCAAGGCCCCAGCATCCTCTCCCCCTGTGGCCCCTTTGTACTGGGATCCCACATGCATTGGGAGAGATGAAAAGCCTCCCTTGGTCTGAAAGCTTTTTCATAATCCAGACATGTTATGACATATTAGAGATTTATTTAGCTACTTAGTCTTTAAGGTGGACATATTGACAGTGCATTGGGGTTACATAGCTTTTACCAATTTTGTGTAATTTTATTTATTAGCTACAAATTATTTCTTGCTATCATTATTATCAAACTACGTAAAGTAAGCATCATACAAACAGTGAGGAACATATCATAGACATTCTGTCATCAGAAGTTTAAGTGGTTTAAGGAATAATTTGCTTTTTTATTCTAAGGAAGAATTTAGAGTAAAATATGAGTAGTGCTTATTATATGCTTTATATTAGCTCAGCAACCTTATGAGGTAGGTACTATTATAATTCCCATTTTACAGATGAGGAACTAGAGAAGTTGAGGGCATTGCTTTAGATTATAACAGCTAAGTGTCAGGGCTAGGATTTGAACTAGAGCTCACACTCTTAAATCTACAACTTTATAACATATATTTGAGCATTTCAGGGAGAGAGGGGGTGTAATCACTCCCCACTGTATTATAATTCAGACCACTCTCTAGAGTAACCCTCTTTTTGGCAGAGTTCTCCTTTCTATTGCTTTCTAGGTTTAAGGTTCTTAAGAGCATTGCGGCTGCTAGAGCTCCCTCAAATCTTGCAAATTCTGAGAGCCATCAGGACCAGGTAAATACCCTTTCTCAATTACTACTCACTCACTGTTTTGGATTAGGAAATTAACATGTTAACTACACCTTCAATTCAACTCATTTCTGATCAGACTTCCAGTGGAAAAATCATGAAGTCCCATAGCTCCTAAGATATTACTTGCTCTCTTTCTCCCACTGTGTTAACATCACACCCTGGCTGAAAAGTTTGCAATCAATTCAAAGATTTTGTTTCTTCTTTGTTCTGTAGAGCTACAATGTGTAAGTCCATTTAGGCTTTAATTCCCTACCACCATCACCCAAATAAGAAATCAAAATAATTCAGAGGCTTTGGTTTCATACATTTGCTGTTATGAACCGTGTTTCCCTAGGAACTAAAACAATCCCTCTGAGCAGCAGAGCTGCCCAGTAGCCACAGTGAACTATTGCTTCCACATGTCTCAAAAAATATATTCAAACTACCTATGAGCAGCAGTACTTATAAAGTTTTAAGCACTTTGGTCTTACGTTACCCACTCAATTTCCATGCCTCTGCATTCTCACTAGAAGCATCAAATATTGCAGGCCAGGCAGATTTCACTACTAAATGTTTATGCATCATGGAGAAGTCAAGGTCTTAAAAGGCTGTCCTTGTGTGACAGGTGGCCCTGCCTGAAAACTACAGAGATTTCATCTAAACGCTAGGGCAATATTTAGGAGACAGGAGCTTGTCTGATCCTCTTTACTCAGAGGTCCTGGTATGAGTTTAGCAATATGGAACTACAGCTCTGTGACCTACTCAGTTTCATTTTGCAAGCCCACTCTGGATTCCCGAGGCGCTGCAGTTTGCACAATTACTTTAGGGAAAATAGCAATATATTAAATTTATTTTATGATGATACTCATATAATTTGCTTTTAAAAGAAGTGTAATATTAGGCTAGTGGATATCATAACAAAATCTAGGCTTTTTGAACAAGTGTGTGTAACTGGGTGTGTGTGAGAGGTGTGCATCTTCAACTCTAATGTGTGTATGAATCAAGCAGAGGCTCTTGTAACACTGTGGATCTGTAGATCGGGGTGGGGGCTGGGATTCTGCATTTCTAATACATTCCCAGGTAGGCATATCATTGCTTCAGGACCGTGAACCATACTTTGAGTAACAAGGTTTTAGAGGATGAATTATTTGTGTTGTTCTGGAACCTGTCAGAACCCAACAGTTCTCTGTCTTTCTTCCTCCAGCAATTCAGTGAAGTTTTCCAAATTGTTATCAATAGTTCTCAGCACCTGGTTCACGGCTGCTGGGTTCATTCACCTGGTAAGCATCTCATCAAACTCTGTAATGTTGCCAGTCAGCACGAATGTCTTTTCTTTAAGAAATGAAGGTAATCCTTCTGAGCTCCTGTCTCCATCACTGTGACCAGTGTGAAGTTCATCATCTTACTTCCCTTTTCAGGGTTTGCTCCACTCCCCTATTTATGACAGATAAGTATCTCCTACACTCGAGGTTCCTACATGCCTTCTTCCAGCTTTTACAACCTGTGCTCAGAAAAGGATCCAACAAAGCTTGCCCTTCAAAGGCATGAGCAATAGGGAAAATTGATCACTGCATCTTCATAAGGGTTCCAGCATTTTGAAAAAGAATAAAAGAATAAAAGTCAAGTAAATGAAGCCAGCAGGAGACACGTATAAAAGCTGGAGAATCAGGGGGAGTTGTTACTGAGTTGCAAAGGAGAGTTCTGGGGATTTCTTTGTTCTCCTGAAATTAACCTGTATACATAGCTGCCTCCTTTGCCTATTGGAAAGGCTAGTTTTTTTAGACCATGTTAATCAGCAATATAATAAATGGATTTCAACAATAGGACGGGACCTCCTAGGCTTTATTGCTCTAGGACAGTTGAGGAGCAGTCATTAGAGAATGCAGAAATTGAAGCGAGATGTTAAAAGCCTGCATAGGTCTTTGAGAAAAGCAAAGCAAAACAAAAAAATAAATAAAGCAGAAATCATTTTCACATGAGCCCTTCCCTCAAAATTAGTTAAAACAATAACAAGAAAAAAGAAAAATGTTAAACACCAAATGTTAACACCAAATGCAAGTTGTGATATGAACTATCAAAGAAATCTGAAACCAGCCACATCCTTTCTCAACACTGAAATAATACTCCCAAAGGGAGTGAGTTAAATGTCAAAGGGTTAAATTATTGTGAAGGAGATTTCCAGGTTGAAGTCAATTTAGTTTTGGTTTGTACATGTTGTAGAAGGGTATGATTGGAACTATGTACTAAGATGTTGTTTAAAGACACTAAAGTTTTAGTTTAAAGGGAACTGTCCCGAGTGATTCTTATATTCCTGGGTGGAATATACATGTACACACACACACACACACACGTAGGAAATATATGTGTAAGCTATTTGGAAACATGTCTAAAAATGGAAAAAAGGAAAATTGAAAATTGTATGTATTCCACATAATTGTTATATATTATTTGTAATATATAGTGTATATTTGTAATAAATTTATATATATAATATGTACATAAATTATAGTGTTGTTGCCTAAGTTACTCCTTTTATTTCACATAAAAAGATAACCTGATAAATTTAGTTTCCTTAAAGTGTAGAGAATTAGGGGGGAAATCAGAGTAAATATTTTTCAGAGTGTTTTTAATCGCTGAAGAGATTTTTGGGGGGGTGAGGAAATAACCTGGGATGCTCAGCTGCCTGCTCCTCCTTAGACACTTGGTTTTATGAGGTTAAGCGCACTAAATGAAGTGCTCACCTGAGTGCTCCTTCCATTAACGGAAGATAATCCTGATCCGGTGAAAAATGAGAATGGGTAGTAACTGCTCAGCCTGAGAGCCTTTGGTGTCCACGATGGCTCCGGGATGTGATGAGGTGCCCGAATGAAAAGAAAGAGATGCAGGCAGTAAATTTCACTATGAAGCATCCCAAGCATGGGCTCCAGCTACATGCCCCCTTGGATTTCAGCAATAATCACAATGAAAGGAAACAAGACTTTGTCATCACTGCCCACAATTTGCCAACTTTTCACAGCTGCCTAGGAATCATTTAGTATTTCATCTGAGTTGAATTAAGTCATTTTGCCTATTCTTTATAAACTTTCCCTAGGATTCCATTCAGAGACCTTTCCTGAGTCTTCTTCTCTTTGGACAGGTGGAGAATTCTGGTGATCCCTGGCTCAAGGGTAAAAATTCACAGAATTTATCATATTTTGAGTCCATTTACCTGGTCATGGCAACAACGTCAACTGTTGGCTTCGGAGATGTGGTAGCCAAGACATCCCTAGGACGGACCTTCATTATGTTCTTCACTCTGGGGAGTTTGGTGAAGAATATTTTCAATATCTTTTGAATGTAGCAAGTAAACAAAAAGCATTTGGTTAAGCATTNGACCTTCATTATGTTCTTCACTCTGGGGAGTTTGGTGAAGAATATTTTCAATATCTTTTGAATGTAGCAAGTAAACAAAAAGCATTTGGTTAATGGTGAGACGTAAAGCAATAGAGGCTTGAGAGTGAATGTTACACTATTCAGGTGTCAAATGAAAATGAAAAGATATATGGATCCCACATTTTCCTAAACTGCATCCCCTGGAGCACAGGATGTAACTGCTTGGTTGCCAGTAGACTTTCCTTATTCGCCTCTGGTTGACTTCAGCACCTCTACCTTCCTTCGTCGTTTGCCCCCCAGATTAAAGTCTTTCTTCCAAAGAGAAAGGGCAGTTGAGGTTTGATCTGAAGAAAGTTCTGTTCCTTCCAATTCAAACAAGTGAGCCTTTTGCTTCAGATAAGTGAACATCCGTGAGAGGTTCAGGAGTGTGTGTCAAGGACAGTGGATGTCTCCTTTTCTTTTAGATTCTAATTTTAATTCCTTAAAAGCCACACCAAGTTCTATAACCTCATTTTTCTGATATTCCAGTGTCCACATTGCTACACCCCCTCATTTCACTGTCCCTTCACTGTGCTCTGTCCCACATGCTTTCTTTTTTCCCCCAAGGCCCTAAATAACAGCAAGTCAAAGGGTCAGAAGGGCACTTTGTAGCAACAGGGAGACAGACTGGGTAGGAAGCCTGCCTTTCTGCTTGTCCTTTACTGTTTTCATCATCTAGAATTCTGAAAAGCATTTTATTCCATTTTAACAATGCAAAGACTGACATAAGAAAGGAAAGAGGGTGTCTCTTTAAAAATATAGTTCACNCTGACATAAGAAAGGAAAGAGGGTGTCTCTTTAAAAATGTAGTTCATGGTGATGCCCCTTGTAGGTGGGAGTTTTGTGTACCTGCTTTCTCCTTCATAATCTCGAAATTTTGGAGTGTCCTTTAAAATAAGGAGACCTGAGTTTTTTATTTGTTGATTATTTTAGATACTATTTGCAAATTATATCCCCGAGATAGTGGAACTCTTTGTTCACCAGAGGAGATACACCAGTTCTTACGAAGTGCTCAAAGGAAAGAAGTGAGTAGCATTCAAATACAATTTCTACACTTCGAAATATTCTGCTTATCACATACGGCTTTCTAAGCACCTCTGGCTTGGCCTAGGTGAATATATTGGGAGGATCCTTCATTCACTAAAGAGGGTTGTGCTAAAATAAATACCATCAGAGGATAATATTTGCTACTTGATACAAACTACTCTATAGATGCTCATAAGGGCATTAAGTCAACTAAAATGGCAGATAATATTGTCATTCTCTGTCAAATACTGATTGTGACAATATTTGAGCTTCCCTTATCACTATTTTCTTATATCTGTTACTAATTGCCTTACTCATTTTAACCATGTGGTTAACTCAGGCGAATTCTACATAATAGATCAAACCCAAGCCATGGCTCAAATTTAAAATAATTAATTCAGTTGTCTGAGACAAAACCCCCCTAACCCATATGGGGCTCATTCTCGGGCAGAGGTCTGCTGGAGTGAGAAGCGACTTCAGCCTCTTCGCCAGTCCTTCATAGATGCCCTCCATTCAGGCCGCAGCCACTTGTTCCCAGGAGGAAAGCAGAGTTGTTTGTACCCTGTTTCTCCGTGGATATGTGTTACCTCGGTTTCCATTATGTTTTCTCAGACCGAAGAAAAAAAGAATGAATTGGAGATCTTAAATTTTAGTCTCTCTCCACTGTGGAGGAATGAGGCACAGTGGAGTCAGACGCTCCTGGAGTGGCCTCTTAACACAGTGGTTGAAACCAAGGCTGACCTAGGACTAAGAACATAGTGCAGTGAACAAAACAAGGGAATAAACTAGACGAGCCGAAGTTTGAGCCAGTGTATCTGGGGAAAGCGCTGTGTGACCCATGCTAAATCAGCCAGTAAGGTCTGGAAAATTTAAGGTACATTTAAGCTAAAATTATGCCACTCATTTTCTTAAATGACTAGTAAAGGAAAAAGTAGGTTTTAAAAATATATATACTCAGTCTAAGGAAATTGACAACTATTTTCCACCATAAAAGTTACATGCTTATAATTTTGCACCTGTCCTAGGTGTCTCTTTATTGGACTCACTTTTGTGTGTGTGTGTGTGACCACTGGATAATTTTAGATGCGGAAGATAAACACAAATAACCTAGATTCTAGTGCTACCTCAGCCATAGCACTTAGCTATGGGAAAATCAAGGAAACACGTTGAGCCTCAGTTTTTCCTCAGTGACAAACGACTATATCACCCAATCAGGAATCAAGTGGAAAGTCAAATAAAATTACACATTTGCAATCCATTGTAAGTTATAAATAACCATGAAAAACCTAGCAGTTGTGGTAGTTATTGCTGTACTCCTAAAAAGCTATGTGTAATTCAAATGGGTGGAGTTATACCCTATATGAGATGAACTAGAGAAGACAGAAATCTGCTTTTGTATAATGGAGATGCAGTCCTCAGTGTTTCTATTTTTAAAATCTGGGTGATTCAAGTACAAGTACCAAATTTATTTAAAACTAAGTTTAAGCGAATTGTCAGTCTCTAAATCTGGACAGGAAGATACTTCTTTCCTGGGATGATCCCCCTGACATGTTCTTGCTACCTAGGTTCATTGTGGTCTGTGGAAACATCACTGTGGACAGTGTAACTGCTTTCCTGAGGAATTTTCTCCGTCATAAATCAGGGCAGATCAACACCGAGATTGTTTTTCTGGGAGAGTAAGTATATCTGTTTGGTTCATGGGCTCTAAATTAATACTTGAAATATGTGTGAATATTTTTTATTTTTTAAATTTATCTTTATTGTTGAAAGTACTGCAGATGTCTTTTTTTCCTCATTGATCCCCTCCACCTCACCCCAGGCCTTCCCCATACTATTGTCTGATTCATCAAAGAGCTTATATGCATATGTGCATAACCCATGGACACAGACATAGTATGTGCGAATATTTTTAATGGAAGAAAATTACCCTTGTAATATTCATAGGAAAAGTAGGAAACAATGAGAAGCCAAAAGAACGAAAAAAGCAATCTCATGATCAGAGTTAACTTCTGAAAAAATTTGGGACTCTATCTTGCCAGATGTTTCTCTGTATATGTACCATTAAGTGATTCCCTATCATTAAGGTTGTTCTATACTTACTATTACTCTATATGACCATAATCTTGTGCACAAGTCTGCTACCCTTCATAATTATCATTCTAACTGTTAATTACCAGGATTGGAAATCTGAAGTTCAAATAGATGCACAAAAGAATGTTTTGATGATGTTTTCATTCTAGACAGTTGACCTTCCCCGCCCCCCCCCGATATATTTTTATTGATTTCAGAGAGAAAAAGGGCAAGGGAGAGAGAGAGAAACATCAATGATGAGAGGGAGTCATTGATCGGCTGCCTCCTGCACGCCTCTGACTGGGGATGGAGCCCGCAGCCCAGGCGTGTGCTCTGACTGGGAATCGAACCTGGATCTCCTGGATCCTAGGTTGATGCCCAACCACTGAACCACACCGGCTGGGGGAAGTTCACCTTTTCACAAGTGGAGTCCAAGTCAAATATTGGTAAAACACTGGGAAATGTATATTTAATGCCAAAAGATTTTGAAGTAGGCAAAATGATTTCTAATTGTTTTGTTTTACAACTTTGGTTCCGAGTGAGATGGAACAAGTTTTGTGTGTTTTAATAAATTCCTCTTGATTTCTTTTACCCTCCTTTCTATGAGGCCAGTGAGCTTATTTTACTGACTTTTAAGCACTCGGCGTATTTTGATATTATCTGTTTTGTGTCATATGTTGTAAATAATTTTATCCCTCTTTGCCTTTTAATTTTGTGTGCTTTTATTTCAATACAGGGGCATTTGATTTACATGCACTTCAATCATCCACTCCCTTTTTTATGTTTGTTTCTTGCTTTTCTTACATTCTTAGGCCTCTCTGTTCTAGGATTAAGCAAATATTTCTCTACCATTTCTATGTTTTCATATGGAAAATTTTTAATACGTAATCTCTCTGGGATTGATTTTGTGTAATGTGAAGGAAACTAATTGCTTTTTCTTCCCCAAATGGTTAATACGTCATTTAGACATCACTCAGTAAATAAGTCAGACTTGAAATGACATTTTGCTCTTATTCAGGACACATTCTACAGCTAAAATGGGAAACTAAGCATTGTCTTTGATACTCCTGTCTCCTCAAACCCTATGTATACTTTCATCAATATCATCAATTTTGTCTCCTAAATAAGTTCTAATTCTCTTTCTACCATTTCATTTCCACTGTTACAACCCTGTTCACAGTTAGTATCTTGTCTCTCCTGAATTTCTGCAAAGGCCACTCCATTGATTGATTCTTTTTGCTCAGAATTTCTTCTACCTTTATATGATCAGTTTAGTTTCGTTCTTTAGCACTCAGAGAGACCTTCCCCATCCAATCTATAAAAATCAGTGTCTTCTAATCCTTCTGTCTCTTGACTCTGTTATATTTCCTTTAAAGCACTATCGCCATCTGTAATTGTGGTTGATTTTCCTTTAATACAGCTACTAACATTTCCTTCTCTTACTGTGCATTCATGCTGCTCCTCTCAATAAAAGACAGAATCTCTTTCCCCTCACTTTGAATCTGAACTAACCAGTGACTTGTTTTAATTAATGTGGCAGAAATAACACTTTGCTAGTTCCAGGCCTGGCTTTTAAGTGGACTTTTCACTCCAAGAGAGTCTTAAGCCCTAAGCCACCATATAAAAAGTCAGACTAACTTGCTGGAGAGAAGGCCCAGGCAATTTTCACCTGCTCTAGTCAGGTAGCTGAGACAGCAATCATGTGTGGGAAGTCATTTTGGTCATTCCAGCTCCCAGTCACACTCCCTGATGAATGTAGCCACACAAATGGTCACAGTCAACACTATGTGGAATTACATTGCTGAGACCAGCCAACCACAAAATCATGAGAAGCAGTATATTATCGTTGTTTTAGGTCAAGAAGTTCTAGATGAGTTTGTTTTGCAGAAACAAAAAGTGGTAGTGGAAGTAGGGTGCTGTCATAACAAAAGCCAAAATGTGGTCTTTTCCTTGGAACTAGTGGCAGGCAGTGGCTGGAGGGTTGCATGGGGACTCAGTAGAGGCCAGAAGAACAATGAGAAAATTGCTCTTGGGTACTGGAAGAAGAGCAGAATTTGGTAACAATGCCACTAAAAGTAACATGGAAGACAGAAAATGTACCTAGTGCAGTTGTGAAGCTGGCTAAGAAAATTTCCCAGAAGAATGCTGGGTGTCATTTGCTATCATATCATCAAGTACGATAAAGTAAGAAAATTGAGCTGAAGAAGAAACTCTTCAGTCTTCAAGCAGAACCTAAAGGAAATCTAGAAGTCCCAGAGCAGTCTCTCCAGCTGGCCAAAAAATATCAAAGAGGAATATAACCTCTGGAGAAAAAAAATCTAATCCAGGAGGCCACCTATAAAATAGGACCCCAAGGTCAAAGGTCAAGATCCAATCAAGGATGCAGCTGAAGACCTCAGAAAGATTTACGGCAATGATTTATTGATGCTCCTTTCAAGTTAGGCAAAGGACTTTGAAGAACCTTAGGACATTCTTCCCAGAATCCTGACATTCTCAAAGTAGAGAGGGATCTCTCAACCAGAGGAATCATAAACATGACTTTGTGGGCATGCCATGAGCCTGAATAACATATATAGAAACTTGTCTATGCTTTAAACAAAATGTTACTGGTAAAAGTACTGTCAGCTTGGGGTAAAAGGGACACAGAGAGTTCAAAATGAAAAGAAAAAAATGCCAACGTAGCACAGGCAGGAATCAAGATGAGAAAGCTACTCAAGTACCAACATAGGACATTTATTGGGGAAAAGAAAGGATGGCTCAGAGGGTCAGAGGAGAGAGACAAGAATAGAAAAGAACAATGGATTAGCTCATAAGGACAGAACTTGGCTTTAATAAAAAAACAACCTCTGTCCCTGGAGTGGGGGGCCCTAATAATATATGCTCGGATAGATTTCAGAGTATCTTTGTGATAATTTCTAGTGATTAGAAATTATTTTTCATCACCACCCTCACCTCTTTTGATTGGGAATGTCTATTGCAGCTTTTCATTCCTTATCATGGTATGTTGGGTGTGGAGATGGGGAGACTAAAACATCTATTTAGTTCATAGGCCTTCAGTTGAAGAGAGGCTATACCTGAGGAGCCCCATCCACATCTAGAACTGACTTAAGAGGACAAAAACCAGGACTTTGACCTGATTGCAATAAAGAGATGAGACTTTTGGGGGAGGACATGAGAATATTGTGTACAGGGGAGGGATGTGAATTCTTGCAGCCAGAAGGAAGACTGTGGTAGATTGTTTTTAAAAGATGGCTACAGATATTTTAAACAATAATAAAATTAAAAAAAAAAAAAGATGGCTATAGGCAGTTTCTCCCAAATGTTTACACATAGGCTATTCCTTTACCAAATTAGACCTGAGCTTCAGATACGTCCACGGAATTAGGCTAGTGATGTCAAATCACCTAACCATGTGGATTAATAATGAATGGAATATAGATGTGTTCTAAGAGGAGTTTAGGGGTTCTATTAAATGCAAATAAATATAACAGTATCTTAAGTAAAGCCAAGCATCCTTTTTCTTCTTTGGCCCTCCCTTCTTTCTTCAGGGTTCCTCCTTCTTTGGAACTAGAAACCATATTTAAATGCTACATGGCCTACACAACTTTTGTTTCTGGATCTGCATTAAAGTGGGAAGATCTGAGGCGAGTTGCGGTAAGAGCTTTTTTTCTCTTTGTAGTTAACCTCAGCTGCAACAGTTAAGATAACAGAATATATTCTCTTTCAAAAGCATTATGCCAGACCCTTAAATTTGGGAAAAAACGACTTCCTTGATTTTAAAAACTTATCATAAAAGAAATGTAGTAATTGACCTCCAATTTCTCCTTGACGAATATCAAGTGGACCTCACCATTTATCTACACTTACAGTTGAATTATTTATTTCACTAAATTCTCTACCTAGAGCAGTTTTATTTTCACAGTCCAAGAGATCTGAAAACATTATGACTAGCAAAAGTGTGTTTGATCTTACCATTCAAATGGGATTCTTACCAGAGCACAGATTTACCAACCTCTGAACACACTGATGTGCCTTCTGATAGGAGAGACATGAAGGAAAATAACAGAGATCCCATTAAGGTTGAAGCTAAAACTAATGATTAAAGGCCAGCCCTCTAGACAGCTTTCATTTAAGATCAAAGCAAGCTTCCTCTCATTTTGTAGGTTTCACAGAATCATATAAACCAAAAGCATTCAGTCTTTTTTTAAAGCAGAGATATATAGAGTTAACATAAAGAATTAAAGCAGAAAATGACAGACTCAGAATAATCTTTCTCTTTCCTGCACCTTGGTTTTATAAGAGCCACATCAACAATTTTCTAGAATCTTAAGGTTCAGAATCCAGTTATTGAATGACTGTTTACTTTGAGCTAAGCAGACTTTCAGTTCCTACATTCTTTGCTGTCCTGAAAGGCAAATGAGTATACAGGCAATTGCTTAAAAAGATCTCATTACTTATCAGTAGGCATACATGGAAGGTTAGGATGATAGGGAAAATATAACTATGCACTTTACCCATTTTAAAGCAATCTGACACCTTTGTTGGAGACCCTGTGCCCTAGTCCATCCATTGTAGTCCTCACAGCCCTTGTAGCATTTGCAGGATTATGGTCCTGATGTAATTTAATCCCTATCACAACTCCTTCCCAAGTGCATTCTGTTTCTTACTGGAAATTTTATGGGGGAAAAAGCTAAGGAAACCCAAAAGAGACACACTACAGCATTTCCCATGTAATTAACAAGATGGTTGCTGTCCAATCTTGAAGAATAGGTGGAATCCGCGGAAGCATGCCTGATTATAGCCAACCCCTTGTGCAGTGATTCAAATGCTGAAGACACTTCAAACATTATGAGGTATGAAGCTGGCACTGTGTTTTTATGCTCCAATACTGACTTATTTCTGCCTCTTTTAAAATAAAGCCTGGTGTATAGACTGAACAGAAGATGTCATCTATCACAGCACTAGGTTCATCATATTCCAAATTTCTGCCTATTTTTTTGCCCCCAGAAATGGTGCAAATGTATGAAAAATAATTGAAAATATAGTATACTGAGTGTCTATGGGCTTGTTCACATACTTTCCTGACGTTTCATATGGATAATAGCTATATAAATTTAAAAAGCAAGCATGCAGATAATTGATAACTGTTCAGATAGCATCATTATAACTAATGTCCTCTCCCCCTCAAAAATAGAGATGCTATTGGTGTGATATGTGAACCCTATTAGTAGACTTTACTTATTGGGAATTTTTTTTCTAGTAGTTCTGGTGAAAGATTGTGTTTGGTTCTGTATGATGTGTTTGTGACTATTGGAAATTATTTTTAAGATGACTAGAACTAGAGTTACCATCTTTAACTCTGAAGTATCTATGAGCAGGAACTTGACTTGTGGTAACAGATTCAAACTATCCTTGTGATGACAAAGGCTTTATTCTTAATCCAGATGATTTTCTGGCCCCCAAGGCAAAATAAGTATAAATAGCTAAAGGTGACTCTATGAATAATAAGAAATAGCTGAGAATTTTCACCATGCATAATACAGTAAATATGGCACAGACTTTAGTTTATTAATTTGTAAAATGAGAAAGCTAGATAAAATAATCTATGAGCTATTTCAAGCTACAGATAGTCATTCAATCTCTAGTTTTTCTTGAAACTAATGTGTTTGAATTTGAAGGCTAAAATATATATGAAACTGTTTTTTCCTTCTCAAGAATTGGTCCCAGGAGACCATAATTTCCTAATACCAACAGCTGACCTTTCCATAGATTTATTTTACTAAGTCACTAAAACAACTACATCCTTAATTGGGTGTTCTATTAAACAGAACATTTTTAGGGAATAGCATAACAATGAAACTTGTAATATGTCATTTTTTAATGCTTACCCACATAACAATTTAACTCTGAATAGAATGATAGTACAAAGACATTGTAGGTGGCACATTACTAATGAACATATTTGTTATTTATGCAGGGTACTCTCTATCAAGAACTATTACCCTAAAACTAGAGTCATCATACAGATACTTCAATCCCATAACAAGGTATTGTAACTCCCTAGACTATCTAGTCACCTCGTCTTTTAGTCTGTGGAGCTAGATGAATTTAGTTCATCTAAGTAATAGATGAATTTATTATTTCCAAATGGGTTTACACTTGAAAAGTTTTTGCCAATTGTAAATGAAATTTGGAGTCTCATTGAGATTGTTAATCACTTATGAATGTAAATTCAGAAAGATATATAATTGTGTCCTTTAAAAGCTGCTTGAATCTAGGTAATGAATGAGGTCCTCTGCTTTGGGGCACTGAGAGGGACACTCTCAACTACTGGTAGCTACTAGAATTAAAGTGGGATGATTAGACAATTACAAAAGTTTGAGAGACAACTAAGAGCTAGGTCAGGGTTGATTGATAAGGTTCATCTTCTACACAAGGCCATTTCTTTGAGACTAGGAGAGGTCGATGTTTTTCTCATGCATAAAAACCAACACAGAGTCAAGAAAAATGAAGAAACATAAATATGTGTTCTAAACAATAACACAAAAACAAGATAAAACCTCAGGAAAATGCCTTAATAAGAGGTAAGTGATTTACCTGACAGAGAGTTCAAAATAACTGTCATAAAAATGTCACTGAACTTGGGAGATGAATGGATTAAAAAAAGTGAATATTTCAACAAAAAGGTAGAAAATATTAGAAAGTACCAAATAGAAGCCACAGAGCTGAGGAATATAGTAGCCAACTGAAAAATGCAATAGAGGGGCTTAGCCAGATTAGATGAATCAGAAGAAAGGATCAGCAAACTGGAAGACAGAGTAGTGGAACTCACTGAACCAGAGCAGCAAAAAAGAAAACGAAAAAAGAGTGAATGAGTGAAGACAGTTTAAGCAGCTGATGGGACAATATCAAGTGGACCAACATTTGCATTATGAGTCTCACAAGGAGAGAGAGAGAGGCAGAAAACTTATTTGAAGAAATAATGGCTGAAAATATCACTAATGTGGAGACTGAAACAGACATCTAGATTCAGGAAGCTGAAAGTTCAAAGTAAGAGGAACTCAAAGAGACCCACACCGAGACACAGTAAAGAGTCAAAAGTTAAGGACAACCAAAAGTTGTTTACTTGAGACTTTTCTTGTTTCTCAAGGTAGATATTTATTGCTATGATTTTACTTATATATGGAATATAAAAACAAATAAATAAATGAACAAAAGAACAAATAAACCCTGAACTCATAGGTACAGAGAACAGATTGGTGGTTGTGGGAAGCCAGGGATGGGAGTAGGAAAAATGGGTGCAAGGGGACAAAAGGTGTGAACTTCCAGTTAAAAAAAAATAATAATAATAATGGAGGTATAATGCACAGCATGGTGGCTATAGTTAATAATACTTTATTATATATTTAAAAGTTGCTAAGAGAATAAATCTCTAAAGTTATCATCACAAGAAAAAAATTAATAACCACTATGGTGATGAATGTTAACTGGACTTATTGTGCTGATCATTTAACAATGTATATAAATACTGAACCATTTTGTTCTATACCTGGAACTAATATAATGTTATATGTCAATTATACCTTAATAAAAACAAAACCCTCCAAAAACCAAGTAAACAAAAAAGATTGTAAATGTGGAGTACAATTAGAGGTCTAAGCCATGTCACTTGAATTTGCATCTATAACTAGTTTCGTTTTAAACAGTGGAACAGTTGACCACTAACCACTTCTAAATGTTGAACTCGTTCTTATCACTTCTGCTGACCTGGGCACAATAAATGCTTTAAAGTAAAATAAAGGCATTCATTTACAAAGGAGTTTCTCAAATTATATTTAATGTTTGACCTACTTTTTTACCATGAAACAGGATTTTCTGCCAAAGATTCCCAGCTGGAACTGGTCTACTGGAGACAACATCATCTGCTTTGCTGAATTAAAGCTTGGACTTATCGCCCAAGGCTGTTTGGTGCCAGGCTTATGCACCTTTCTAACATCTCTATTTGTTGAACAAAACCATAAGGTAACCTTGTAAGTTGATGTTGAATCTTGGCTCTATCCCCATGTTCTCACATATTAGGATCAGATATAGATATAAAAATTGAGGAAAGTATGAAGGCCCCAAGAAAGGAGATTTGACTTCTGCTTGAGCTGAGAAGGGACTGCGAGAGCTAGATTGAGTTCCCAGGTACTGCATTAACCTTGAAAAAAAAGTTATTTATTTTATCCTTGCCTAAGAATATTTATCTGCAAAATAGAGACCATAACTCTGCTTCCTACATGCTCCACGGATATTATGAATGTAAATGTATTCGTAAGTTTAGGAGCACTTTGACTTATTGAAAGTAGAAATATAATTAAAGGTTATGTTATTAGAGGAGAAGTCATATATTTAAACATAAATTAAATACAATAATCAACATGATAATAAATAATTATATTTGTCAAACAAAAATAATAATACAAATAATAATTAAAACCTAATTTTCCAGGTTATTTGGGGGCATACAGTAATAATACTAATGACCTCATATTGAGTGCCTACTATGTGTTATACATTTTAAATATATTATATTTCCCCTCAATAATATTTCAAGGTAGTATCCCAGTAATGGGTCAATGATGTTACCTAACCTGGTCATATATTAAGTGAGTAAGAGCTAGAATTGTCTGATCTACAGTCCTACCACTATGCCCCATGCCTGTGGTTGTTGGCTATCTATTCACAATCTCCCACATCAGGTCCTAGGATACCTTTGTTTGAGACAAAATAAGCAGCTAAAAGGAGCTGTTAGAATGAATTAATATAGCACAGAGTATGACCTTCCAAATGCCATTCCTGTGAAATGCTCTACGAAAGGTCCTAACCCTCAGCTGGGCCTGGAATCCTATTATCCAAAGCCCCTCCAGAGACTGACCTTTCTCTCCACTTAATTACGAGTCCACATTAGCTTTTTTTTACATGCATTTTTTCTCCTGGTCTCTCTTTACACTTTACTCCCTTGGTTCAATAAATTAAAAAAATGTTTACATCTTCTCTGGTTCCTTTTCTGGTGCTATTAAGGAAAAACAAAAGAAGTGAAAGATGCTCTGGCCAGCACCATGCTAACCGGAACACGCAGAATTCTTCTGCAGTTCCTTCTTGCAAGTGCGAGGAGACATCACATACAGATAAATAGAAATGGCTATCAGGCAGCAGGAACTGAGCTTGATACTACCACAGTGACCACGCATTAACCTTCACTTAGTGGTCACTGTGCATGGCCTAAGAAATGGCTTGTCAGGACATCCTCTCTGTGTTGTATGCTTAGAAGGCGGAAGGTAACTGCAATGTCGGTTGTGATGATTGTTATTTTAATCTCTATGACCAGAGAAAACAAAAGGAATGAGTTCTCTGTGTGAAGGCCTCATCTTTCTCATGGAAATATAGAAGGTAGAGACGTGTAAAACCAGCCCTATTATGCTTGTCTTTTTCTTTTTTATCTGAAGTTGTAACCTCCTCACTGAGGATGGTTATCTGTCAACATTCATCATAAGATGGTTTTTGGAATACAGGAATTGAGAGGTATTTGTGGACATGACAATTTTTTTGTTTTGGAAGTGAAGTCTGAAACTCACTTTCAGGAATCCTCAACTGGACAGAGTAGGACAGAGCAAGCTGTTTTTAATGCTGTATACTGCTCTGGTGCTTCAGATGTTGTAACTTTTATTTATGTTTAATGGCCAGAACTCCAGTGTCTTATGTCCCATTTTTCTCTGATTAGGCACTTAACTTTCTCTGTCAGTTTTTGCATCTATAAATGCAAATTTTTAATCTCATAATCAGATTTTTCCAAGTATTGAGTTAATATTTGTTAAACTTCTTAGTACTCAGATGAAAAGAAGGCCTTGGATCAGTAGCATGTGTTTTTGTTTGTTTGTTTTACTATATTGAGTGTATGGTGGGAAATTGTAGTTTGAAGAGCATTTCTGGTTGGTTTTGGCACAAAGCATTTCCTTACAAGCTTAAACTTCGATTAGACCTATTTCAACTGACTTACTTGAGCTCCCCAATTCTACTATCCAAATCCAAAATTCATCTTGTCTTCCTGTTTCCCTTTCTGACCTTTTAAAAGCTAACTCAGGAAGTCTTCTCCATCTCTATGGTTATCATTCTTACCCTTTTCCAAAAGTGAAACATTCAGATTAGAAGTATTAAGGCAATTTCTGTAGTAGTGGAGAATTAAATAGTGGTATGAACTGCCCAGTGAGGTGAGCCCTCCTCAACAGAGGAGTTTAAGAGTTGGGGGGAAAAGGCAGGAGATTCAGCTGAATCTTGGGAAAGGGTATGGAAGTGCCTGGATTGCCTGAAATGGTAGTCTGTTTTCAGCATGGCAGAAATTTTTGTTTGTGTGTTTTTTGTTTGTTTATTGTTGTTGCTTTAAATTAAATGTAATTTATTGTTGCGAATATTACATATGTCCCCCATTTTCCCCCCTTTGCCCCCCCTCCACCTGGCTACCACCCCACCCCAGTCCTTCCCCTGTCTATTGTTTGTGTGCGTTTGTTTTTATTTTGTGTTTCCTGAACCACAAGATGGCCACTGGGGAAGTATTTCTGAATAGGCCTTTACTCTCCATGCCAACAGTGCTTCAGAGTTCATAGAAATCCCAGAATTTTATCTGAGGTTCTGGGCTTTAAGGGGCCTGTCCCGCCATGTCAGGGCAGTGTGGATGCTCACAGAGGCAGGCGGGAGTACACAGGAGGACACAAAGAGAGCATAACACAATTTTGAGGGATCTTGCACAAATGCCAGAGGTGAGTTACCCAGCTGCCCCTGTCCCCTCAGGTTGCATTTAGCCTTTTGGGGAGATATCCCTTCTCCCTTAACACCTCCCATTTCTCTAGAAACCTACTGCTATCCTTGATCTTTGCATTTGCATTTCCATTAATCAGGTGGCTCTTTGAGTTCATGTGAACCCAGGAAGGTTTCTGATACTGGGCAGGAGCCATGTATATTTGTTTCCCTTGTGGTATGTGGTTACAGGCATACCTCAGAGGTATTGCAGGTTTGGTTCTAGACCATCTCCATAAAGTGAGTATCTCAATAAAATGGCTTGTAATCTTTTTGCTGGTGGAGGGTTTTGCCTTCAATTTGTAAAACACGTAACATCTGTGAAGCGCAATAAAGTGAAACAGTAGAATGAGGTATGCCTGCAGTTAGTAGAAAACTAATATGTTTAAAAAACCCATCTTGAACAGCCATGTCTAGGGAGAGACAATTTAGATTCTATATCACCCTTCCCATGTTACTACTGACCCAACGACCAGTCTCCCTTGCTGAAATGATTGCGAGAAGAATCCTGACTTCCAGCAAGGAGTCCTGGATGCCATATGGGAGAAACTAAGTCACGATTTTTCCACTTTGTTCTGAACTGTTTAGTGAAAGTAGTTGAGATGCATGTTTGAGTTTTAGTTCTTCCTTTGACATTTGTCCAGTTAGGCACAAGGACAAATCTCCTCCCTATCACCAGTGGGTACTGGTTTGCTGCTTAGCAAAATAAACACCTTGAATTATAGCATCCCATCTTCCTTGTCAAGTGCTTCATGTGACATGATTGTACATTACAGGTTTGTCCTAAACAGCCCTGGCAAAAAATCTTTTTAAGTAGCCTGAAGAACAAAATCCTGACTCAGCGTCTCTCTGATGACTTCTCTGGAATGACTTTTCCTGAAGTTTCCCGGTAAGTTAAAAGAAACACTTTCCTCATCGTTTCATGCGATGACATTCTTTCAGCAATGTTCATTGATGGCATTTCTGTAGGCCAGGCTCCATGACAAGCACTGAAGATATATGAATATAAGATGTAAGAATGAGTCTGAGTGTCTGCAACCTAGAAGTTGTGGGACAATTTTCTCTATCCCAGTTGGCACGCTGGCTGAGGGTTACTTCAGAATGGATTCATTTACAAGTGGGAATTGCGTATTTGGGAGGCCTTCCTCTGCTGAGGTGCTGGCGCCTCCCAGGTGCAGAGCACAGTGTTAGCTGTAGTATTGTGAAGCAGCGCCCTGCCGCCCTCCCTTTCCTCATGACTGCTGGTCTTCCTTCCCAGGCTCTGCTTTGTGAAGCTGCACCTCATGCTGATAGCCATCGAGCAGAAACCCATGTCTTCGGGGTGCTGGTAGTAATGAGGCTTCGAACCTCTTTGTGTTTTTTTTTCAATAGAATCTCTATGATTAAGACTTGTCCAAAAATACAGCCATAACTAACTTTCTACCATTTGTTGAGAGCCGGGCTTTGGGGCACCCAGGCTCCTGTGGTGCATTTAGTATTCTCTCTAATGATTGGGGTTAGCATGGTTACCCTAAAGGGTGGACAGGCACTTTGCCTTTGTTCTTATGACCCTGTCCCAATTCTTATCAGCAGGGGTCGCCTTCTCAGATCTGTTCCTCTGAATGTATTACCAGATCTTGCAAATCTTGACCATGCAACCATACTATAAAATAGAATTATTTATGATAAAAATGTTCTCACAAACTGTAGTCTTATAAACAAATCTGCAAAATATGGCAAAATGGGAATCTGATTGGCCTAGTAGATAAAGTCTGTTGTTAATAGAGGAGGCAAAGGAAAGAGATAACATTACCAGCATTTCCTGAGAATCCATATTGGATAATATGAGAAGTAAGAGAAGTTATATCAAAAAATATAAAATTTAGGGCAAATAGAAAGAGAATCAGCTACAATGACATATAGAGAAAAAATGATGAAAAGTTTTAAAAGGGTGCTTAAATGGATGTGGAACAAGAAAGACTTTGGCTTATGATGGTTCTTAGTGCAAATCCAACTTAAATTAAATTAGAATCAACACACTAGATTCTAGTCTAGATTATGATTTGCTAGCCCGGTAGCCTTGGCAAAGTGTTCATCATCTTTAGAGAGAGGAACTCATGCTAATTAACACCTAAGACCCCTTCTAGCTCTAAAACTGACATTACCAGGAACACTGCAATTACAGGGAAACAGTCAAAATTCAATAACTTTGAGTGGTAGCACATGGACTACAAAGGAATGATTTTATATGAAGAAGTTAGAAAGAAGAACAGTTCTGTGCAAGTAGAGAGCATGCAGAAGGGATCTGGGCAAAAGAAATCAGTGGGGTACAATGCAAAGCAAGTCGTTCAGGGAGAGTGACAAGGAGTATTGTCTGGCTGCCTAAATTCTATTTAGCAATCCTGCCATGCTCAAGAAAATCTCAAAATCTAAACCTAAACCAGGCAGTTTGGGTTTCAGACTGGCCCAAAACTTGATCAAATTTTGACATCTTTTTGGCCTTCAACAACCCAGGCTACCCATCAGAATTATTTGCAAAGTTTTAAAGACATAGATTCTAAAACCCTGCTTCTGAACTTTATGGAATCAAAATCTCCAAGGATGGGGCCTGAGAATTTTCTAAGTCTCCATGATACAGTCAGTTTATTCACAGGCTTTTGGAAACTACAGAGCCAAATGCTTTTAAGATCCTTTTCAATTCTGACATCCTAGAATTCTATAAACATTATTAGAATTATTATTAGGACATCATAGACCAGAAACATGGATATCTATTAAGCAGCTAATTTCTGCATATATTTAAGAGGTCCTGGCGCTGTTTACTGTCTAGCACACATCTACTCACAATGAAAGAAGAACCTGCTCTAACATAGATTTAAAGCTGGCCTCTCATCAAAAAGTCAGGTGAATCAAAGTCCTAATGTGGCAAAGATATTGATAATAACAATCTCCTACATGGTTGCTAGCTCATGACCAACAGTGCTATAGACACTTTACTTACATTAGCTCTTGAATCCTCACAATGCTGTGAGGTGTGCACAATTATTAGTTCCATTTCACAGAGGAGGGGGCTGAGGCCCAGACAGCTAATTTCCCCAAGCTGACACTGCTCCCAAGTGGCAGAGCCAGAATCTGAACTCAGTTTGGCTCCGGGGGCTGCGCTTCTGATCACAGAGCCGTACTAAATCCACCATAGATATAAATGAGTGGAAGGAAAATAGGCATCTCAATGGCTGGGCTTTAGGCAAGGATATTGAAACACTGGAGGAAAAATCTCTTCTTTTAACCTTTTATTTTCTCTTCTAATTGATACACTTGAATATACTCTAAGACTTGCAAAACCCCTGGGTAATTACAGAGATTTGTTTTAGGGAATAATTTGTCACCTGCGAAGAGATAAAGTTGGACCTGACCCAGTTAGATAGTGTTCTGAGATTGTCCCAGTAGCGAACATTCTCTAATAAAGCAACTGGCCATGATTAATGAGGAGGGGAATTAAGCAATAGCGCCAGTTCAGAAAAATCTTCCAAAGTTCACCTCTTCTTTCAAATGCAACCAAAGATACTAATCATGACAGTAACTTCATAACTAAACACTTAAAAAGAGTTCAGAGGACCATCCCTTTAAAAAAGGAGACATGAAGATGGAACTCAGTATATGCTTGCCAGCCAATGATCATAGACCAGTCATGTTAGGGGTGGGAGGCACAAATTCATGTTCCTTCTCTTTTAAAGTTAAAGCAATCATTCCACTCATTAAATATCAGTCAATAAATACTAAGAAAATGCCATCTAGTGTCTCAGGTAATCATCTACCTGAACACAGCTGCTCAGCACAGTTCTCCTCCTAGAACCAGGCGGGAGAGCTTTCGTTGGACAAGCCCTTTTATTTTTGTGAGGCTCTAACACTTGCAAGTTACTCAGAGGCACCCCAACAGCAGAATAAGTTTTGCCAGAATTAAGACTTAACCTTTTTCCAATGTGAATATAAAAGGAGTGTGTTTTAAGGGAGAAAAATAACACTTTCATCATGTGGAGTTAGAGGGTTATGAGACCTTTTCATACTAGAGGTATGGAAAAGAAAAACCAGGAGATCTGACAAACACAGGGAGCAGTGTGAGGAACTTAAATATTCACAATAGCGTCAAGGAGTACCGTGGGTGAAACACCTAAGACAGCATTCTAAAACACACAAACTAGAAAAAGAAAATTGAAAGTTTCAAGTAATGTAGAAATAAAAACAATTCATGTGTTTCCTACTCTCAAAAATCTTGCAATCGGGAGACAAAAATGAAGTCCAAAGAAATATACAAGTTCAGAAAATGTATCAGCAAATAAAAGGAACTTTTGAACCCAACTAATTAATAGACATAATTTAACTCTAAAGGTCAAGTAGCTTAAGGATGAACACCACTAGTAAGTCTCGCAAGTGTGTGGCCTTGGCCTAGATGCCAACAGGTAGCCTAAATCATCAAGGGTCCATACATCTGAGTTTGTTTGACCATCTCAGATTCTGGACACACGGTCTAAGAAAGAACTTACCCTTCAGTCAGCTGTGTACACAGTTCAACAACTGTGTCGTGTGGGGCTTGGCTTCCCTCAGTATATTTAGCAGCAATCAGAGTGTCAAAAATAGTCAAATTCACATTTTCTACCATGCTTAGCAGTAAAAGGGGATTGAGTCCTAGTAACTCTGTAACTTAGAGAATCCATAGGTAATGACAGAATGAAACACCAAATACTGGCACAGAGAGTGGAAGGGAAAATTGCCTTATTTTTATTTTTTGTCTCTAGTGGCCTGATGCTAAATCCATCTGAGGAGGTCAAGCTGCATAAGAACACATTAGGGTTCTTTATTGCTGATTCTGCAAAGAACGTCAAAAGGTAATTTTATTTTATTGCTTCAAGGGGAGAAAGTCCTAACGCACACACAACCTAATGGCAGGCAGACTGAGTCAGCGCCGTGCTTGCTTAGTGTTAAGCCTCACATAAGTCATTCTTGATTTGCTTTCATTGTCCAGAGCCTTCTTTTACTGTGCCACCTGTCACGGTGATGTGCATTCTCCTGAGCTAATTGGAAAATGTAACTGCAAAAGCAGGAGCCTTCGACACCTCACAGGTAACTGCACTTTACACCCGGCTGGCCTCAGCCCAGCTTCCCGGGGTTTGGCCAAGGAAAGAGGAAAGGACCCATCCCTTAAAGGACAGTGCCCATGTTAACTTGGCCAAGAAGTGGCAGACATTTCCCCACGGGGCATACAAGTTCTGAGAATCAGTCTTTTAGGGCCGAGAGCAACCTTACTAGTTATCTAGTTCAACTCGTTCATAGGCCCGGCAAGTGACTCTGAAAGAGATTCACTGAGGAGCAGGTCATGGACCTCTCATGCTTCCATTCTATATGCAAACTGAAAGGCTCTGTCTCAGCGACGTCTCCACGTTCTCTGAGTCTTTCCATTTCCCCTTGAGAACTCAGACACTGTGGGGCGAAGAAAAAACCCCACAAAACTATTCCTATAATTTCCTAAAATGCTTCAGTCTGAAGAATATTGTAAATTAAATGGGTTTTAAGATCCTATTTTGGATTGAAAAGTTAAACATTGACTCTTTTTTAATTCTATGAATCTCTTTTGAGGCAATAGATGAGGCTAACTAAATAGGAGGAATGTCCCACTAAAGAAAGTGTAAGAAGGAAAAAAATAAGTTAAAAGTATCATCTCACTGTATGCAACTTTATACTACATGAAAATTTAACATGGTTTCATGCAGGAGACATATTCTTATAAACACAGTGCACAAATAAAACTTTTTCAAATAAATTATACACACCCATATGCTTGCACTGCTATCGGTCATTTTGCAAATACAAATGTTTTATAAAAATAAGTATTCATCCCTTTGTTTGGCTGACTTTTAAGTGTGGTTTTACTATAAATATTTTAAAGCAGGATGTTGCTCTAGTATAAAGATGGGAATATTTTTGTTTAAAGAGAAAGGCTCTGCCTTCATATTTGTAGAAATGCCAATTTTTACCCACTTCTGTGACATATATTTTATAGTATCAAAGGAATAAATTAGTGAGACTTTCAATTTACAGTCTAATGTTTGAGCTTTGATGTAGTTATTACCTTGCTCAGCATTTTTTATTCTTCTCATAATAGAATCATTTCTTCTTCCTGCTCCATACCGATCCTCAGTCACCTCTCCTACGGAGCCTATCCTACTGGATTCAGAACTCTATTAGTAATCTGCTATCGAGATTCACTGTTCTTGACTTCAGTTTGTCAGATGATGGCAGCAGAGTACCATGAAATGCTCGCTGGTCTGGTGGCTGGAGCCTGAAATGGAGTGAATTTGAATCTGAAGAGTTAGTTCTAGCCACAATGTGCCAAAGAGGACATCAGTGTAGAAGCTGACTGCTTGGCCTTATAGATTTGAAAGTCATGATACTATCTGGAAATTCTCCCAGAGATTTAACTTTCAGTAAAGGACTTAGGAACTTACCAATGGATGCCAAAATAAATACTTTACTGACTTTGGATTAGTACAAATTCTAGGTTGAATATTTCACATTTCAGAGTCAGATAAAGGGTATCTAACCCCAGTCTATTCCCTTCAAATAAGTATCACTTTATTGAGCTAAATAAGTTTGCTCGGTTCCGCCAGTTTCTTCCTTCTACTGTACCAAATGAGAATGCAGAAGACTTGAATTCTGGCCACAGCTGTACCACGCCTTAGCTGTGGTTTAGGGAAAACATGTTATCTTTTGGGGCCTCGGTATCATCATTTCCAAACTGGGAAGTTCTCATCACTTCTATGGCCCTTTTCCATTCTGATATTCCAGCGATTTTCAACAGGTGTGCCTCAAGAATTTTTAAAACATGCAATGAACTACCTGACTAGTCAGGGGCACTGAACTCTTTTCCCTTAGATTGTCAAAGTAAAAAATGATAACAGCCAACACAATAATAGACATCCAGTGTGAATGAATCCAATTATACCTATTTTTTTTGCCAGGATGGCAAATATATATATATATTTTGGTGTGCCGCAGATTTTTGGTAATTAGTTTAATTGTGCCATGAGAGAAGAAAGGTTGAAAAATTGCTGTGATAATCTGTGATTCATAATCCCTCTACCTTTGATTACTTTCATTTTTCTAAACTAAACCCACACCAGAGTTTCTCCACTTAACTTCCTAATCTAAAGTTTTAGAAAGGCACCAGGGTGCCATGGTTAGAACATGAATTCGGTATAGGTCACTTACTTCTTATCTGTGTGACTCGGGACAAATTATTTAAGGTCTCCCTATGCTTCATATTTCCGTAAAATGTTGGTAATAATATTACACATCTCAAAGGGTTGAATGAGAATATCAGTACCTAAAGGTATACAAATTGAGTATATTAATATAAAAAGCATTAAGACTAGTGCCTGGCAAGTGGTAAGTACTATGTATATGTTAATTATCATATTACCTATGGGAACAGGAAGAGAATCATTATTTTTTTTCTAATCAATGAAATACAGATGAAATAAAAATTGGCAGAGAAGTTCTAGTACATGATACTTATTTTAACCCATTCCTTGATTTTTATTTTATTTTATCTTTTTTTGGTGGTGGGCAGAGCATGAAGACTAATAGAGCTACTAGCCTTTAGAGCAGGAAGAGTAATTGTCTTTCTGCTTTTCGGTGTAATGTACGTTAGATAAGTTTTTGAGCAGGAGTTCTCCTAGTTGCCAACTATAGAGTTCACTGCCTGCTGTTTCACCACTGAAATCTCCAACGCCTGCGGCTTTAGAGATGTGGTCCTCCACCGGGTCAGGGAGGGGCACGTAAGAATCATCTTATGTTATGGGGTGAAGGGAGTGGGCAGTGTACTTTGAGAATTATGAAAGCTTCCAAACTCATACAAATCATTAATGTGTTTTCAGAAGAGACTTTATGAAGAATGGCACAAGGGAAGATTCAAAGCCTTAGCAAAAATTTCACACTCTTTTTTTAGTACCTGGCAAATGTTGTTGGCTGGAGAGTTAGGCTTTGAGAAGGCAGAGACTTCCCTCAAGTTCCATTGTTCCTGAGCCAGTTTGAGCATGTTGCCTTTTACATTCCATAGCTCAGCTTCTATCACATGTACTAAGCCGCTAGCCTTGAAAAACTGACAGTTGGTAACACACGAGTCCTCACTCAGACTTTTCTTCAGATGTTCCCTGCCTGGGCCATCCCCCCAGGGCAAGAGGTAACCACGAAATAAGGAAATGTCAGTCAACCTGAAAGCCCCCCTCCCGCCTCCAGATGTAAGTGGAGGCTTCTGAGGATTACAGGTAGGGAGCAATCTTGTGCCAAACCTGGCTCTTAGCACACCTGTGTGATGCAATGACTGATGACTTCAGCCAACAGGTCACATATCCAAAGGACGTCCCTCTTCTTCTAGAAATGTGTTTTGACCCAGTTGATCTTTTCCATGGATTCCAGTGGTTCAGAAAGAATTACAACAAATGAGGAGGGATACCAAGATTTTCTTGTGGTTTTTTTCTGTCAGCCATTATACAAAACCTGATGATGTGTGGGTTTAAAGTCTTGTTCCACCCACAGGAACTCCCCATTCTGAGTAGTCTCAGTACAGAAATGATTCTTAAATTGACACAGGAGGAAAAGGCCAAGTCTCTTGTCTCTACTTGGGTGGGTGGGGGAAGAGTAGCAATGATGGCTGCTCTCTGACTTTGTCCCTCATCTTGATCAGTTTTCCTCAGTCAGTCAGTCTTCCCATCTCTGATCAGGTTCAGGGAAGCAGATAATGCAGGGTCCTTAAGGGTGTAAGAGAACATTTAGCTTCCAAAGCACCCTTTAGAATGTTATTTTTTTTATCATAATACCAAGAGCCAATGGACCAATAAAGGCTTCCTGTCCTGGTGTGTTGAAAGGATTCCTAGGTTGAAAGTGGGTTCTGTAGTAAGAAGGGCATGATTGTGTACCAACAGGTGTGCATGGGAAGAAGTGATGGCTCATGTGTCAGTTTTTCCCATCTCAGTGCAGCTTCATGTTGCTCATTTAATTATTAAATGTCAAACATTCTTGCATTTATCCTCACAATCATCCTCTGAAGTCCCCCAGTATTATCCCCATTCTGTAGATGAAAAAAAGTTACTTGCTTTTGTGTTATTTCCAGGTTTTGAACTTTATAAATGTTGTGAGAATTAATAATAAAGGAAGCCATGAAGGGAAAAGAAAGGAAAAAGAAAGGAAAAAGAGGCAATGTCCTAGTGGAATGAATTGCAACCTGAGCACCATCTGCAGAAGGGAGAGGGGACTTGTATAGTTTTTTTTTTTCTTAGAATCCTGTAGTGGCTCTAAACTCTGCCTGCAGCAAGAAGGCTCCCTAGATGCAATGCTCCTGGGTGAGATGAGAGGACTGGTGGATTAGAAAAATACAACATCAATTCACTAGGTATTTATTTTAAGCATACTATATGGTATTGAATCCTCACAATCATTTTCCACCCACTCTGAATCCTATAGAAGGAAATTACAGTCTCCTATAGTTGATCATCTTAGAACTCGTCTGTAGCTAAGGATCCCCAGCTTCCCTAGTTAAGGGCCTAGAAATGCCTCAGCCAACGGTAAGTTTCAAAATCTCTTATGAGCAGGTATTATACCAACTCACTAAGACTGCTATGCTATTGCAGGGACAAAAATAATGGCAAACACCTCCAGCATAAAGGAATTCCAGAGGAAAGCAAAGAGTGATTCTTTTCCAGGAAAACAGTTGAGCAAACAGCCAAGCACGATTAGCAACTTGAGCTTTGCCACCAGGTAAGAGCCTCAGAGAATCCTGGTCCCCTATGGCTTTCCGAGAATCATGGCGCAATAAAAATTTGACTTTAACCAGAATATTTGTTTTATCAGCTCCTATACTGACCAATGGAATTGTTTCTCACCAACAAGAATTCATCTCTACTTCAGCCAATATCATTAAGCTCAGCAAATATACCTCTCCCAACAGTCCTGAAATAATTTATACCTATGATAACAAAAGGCACATATCTGGTTTCTTTCAAATTACCTCTCAGGTGCTCTAGAAATGTGGGTTAGGATGATATTTCAACTATTCCCAAATGGCTTTTATTATTAATATATTCCCCAATTCCAACAAATTGATGATGGAAGTGTCTTTGTTTTGGAATCTGCAAAATAGGGTCAGTAAATCCACCCCCATCCCACTCTCTTTTTCCTACAGCTCTTTAATACATTCAAACCTTAATTAACTAGAATGCAGGAGTGGAGAGGGAGGGGGATCTGTCTAGTGATTTTAAATAGAGGGTTGATCTAAAAGTTCTATTACTCTAAACCCTATTATGAATAACTCTGTAATATGTTGGTGACACTGCAGTTTAGTAGCTATCTTATACCGAAAAAATGTTTAATGGTTGAGAAATGTGATTGTGTACCATTAAATACTGTATTATCAGCAGAGCATAATCATTATGCTCTGGCGTGACATAAGGTAAGTTCAAATGCTGGCTCTCAGCTGTCTGATCTTGGGCAAGTTGCTTAATATCTAGGTGTCCTAGTTTTGATATCTTAAACGAGTATAAAAGTAATGAATTCTTTTCAGGTTTTTTTGTAATGAGATTAGGTATTTAAAGCAATGTTCTTGACTCCTGGCTGAGAGTAAGTGTTCATTAAATATTCCTTATTATTCCAATTATTAATTATTATACCTAGGAAGGTGTACAAAATTGGACTTAATATGTAATAAGTGCAGACCCTTCCAAAGATGTGGATTTTGAAATAAGTCCTTGGTCTTGTTTTTGCTATAACTCATGTCTTTCTTTTAAAACATGAGAACTCATGCTTTTATTTAACTAAGGATTCTGGATTGATGGATCTCATTAACAGAGGTTTTACTGCACCTCTTCTACCAGTGAGGCAGGTGTTAAATGTCTGAGCCACCAAAGGTGCCACCACTTCACGTGTGCACTAGAGGAATATAAAAGTTCTAGGAATTTTAGTTTCTACGCTTCCTTGCCTTTCATTCCAGGATTTTATGAAACTGAGATAATCTGTGAGAATGGATTAAGAACTGTTTAGAGGAAAGGTGCTATGGGATTTTATGAATTTATATTTTGCCTCACTCTTAATGACAACAAAACACCTTACAGACTAGCACTGGGATTTGCAAATAATTTTTTTTCTTTTAAAATGGTTGGTAAACAGATATTTATTGAATACCTCTATGTACTAAGTAGGCATTGTGCTTGATGTTTGTAGATACAGAAGTTATGTTTCAACTCCTAGACAGTCCAATTGGGTAAACAAAATGAATTCATATAAAATCAACCTGAGGCCAAATAAGGCAGTGTTCTTTCAAGTGCTGTATTGATGAATCTAGCAGAAGGTCAATGGAGGAAGAGGTCAAGGTGGGCTGGATGGATTGTTTCAGAAAGTTTCCAGTGGGAGATAGGATTTTGGAAAAGAGACAAGGGTGGGAATCTCAACTCCTGTGAAGGATGTGACATGGCAGGGCATGGGACAAACGTGGAGCCTTCCATATACCAGCCAGCCTGATGAGAAGTAAGAATCCACGGTAGAGAGCTGTGGGAAATAACATCTAAAAATTTTTAAGAATATATTCTTTACTATTGATATGGTGCATGAGTGTATATGTGAGTGTGTACATTGTGTCTATGTTAATGCAAAGTTGTTCAAGTTGGAAAGTTGTTTGGATAATATAAAGACCATATATGTAATAACACATGAAGTGCTCCAACCATGTTTATACTTTCATTTATTCTTTGCCATGTCTTCTGTGACGATAGAGTATTGGCAATTCATGGATAATCAAAACCACAGAAAATCCTCCAATGTAATTTTAGCCACTCAGTTTCACTGACTTTTCCCACTATTCTTTAACACAGCTATAAAAACAAAATAATTTAATGTATTTATATTTTTCCCATTGTCTTTACTTCCTGTGTTGTTTATGATAAATAAAGAAATGGTCTAAAGCAGGCATCCACAAGGGGAATTATTCCACATGGTCTAGACCATCCACACACTGGGCCCATCAGCCTTATATCTGGGTGGATGATCCCTGAATGTGCTTTAAAAACCCCTAAGTGAGATTGTGAAGAAGTAAGAGATAGCGAAAGTTACCCATCCAGATCATCTTTGATACGATGCTTAACTGAGTTATACCTCTTAATTTAAAAGCAAGATGTGTTCACATCAACTAGAGGCTTAAGAAAAAACACTACTCACCCTGGCCAGTGTGGCTCAGATGGTTGAGCGTTGTCCCATGTACCGAGAGGTTGCTGGTTCTATTCCCGGTCAAGGGATGTGCTGGAGTTGCGGGCTCAGTCCCCAGTAGGGGGCGTGCAGGAGGCAGCCAATCTATGATTCTCTCCCTCTCCCTCTTTCTAAAATAAATAATAATTTTTAAAAAACATACTTTAAAAAAAAACCTCAAAAAGAAAAAAATTAATCAGGGCCATACTGCTGATTAGTCAGTGATATACCCTTAGGTAAGTACCATTCGTGGGTGAGTTTCTGTGATACTTCATCAAAGAAGTTGGTTGGCTCAGCTGATTTAAGTACAGTCTTAATGGGATCAATGGCAGATCTCGCTCCCACTTTGTACTATAGAATAGTATGGCTTTTTGTTTTTTGTTTTTTTTTTAATTTTTATTTTCTTACAGGGCAAAGGTAACTCCAGCTAGTGAATTGTCAAACATAAGTCCTGGGTAGCAACAGTGAGTGATAAAATGGACATGATGGCTTAATAGAGACAAATAGGCATTATTGGGGGGGGGGGATGTCAAATGTGTGATATGTGCTATTTGTGATCCATTTTTGTTGTGTTAATAGAACTACATTCACATACGAAAATCAGCATAATATTATTTATAGTTTTGCTGACTGTGGGCTTGATGCTTTTAAAGATGTAATCTTCAGGCCATCAGTGGGTTTTCTGGTCAGTTCAGAAACTACAATTTTCTATTTTTAGTACTTGAAGCAATACAGACAGCTCTAACTTATACAAAAATTATAGCCCAATATTCCATTGCATACCTGGTGTCTCTCCTTTCCCATAGAATAAGCAATGTTATAAATAGCAGTTAGGTTCTTAGACTAGCACACAAAAGTCTGTTTAATAGATGGTAGTTGACTATATATTTGTTGAAAAAATAAGCACTAGTTCTATTCACCTGAGTTCTGTGTCCTTAAATCAAGGGGTTATGTAATATGAGTGAAGATGAGTATTTCCTCTTCTTTTTCTGGGTGATAAAATTAGACCTATGCAAATTAAAAAAAAAAAAATGTTTTTATTGATTTTAGAGAGCAAGACTAAGGGAGAGGGAGAGAGAGAAACATCGATGTGAGAGAGAAATGTTGATCGGTTGTCTCCCATACACTCCTGACTGGGGATCAACCCACAATCTGGGCATGTGCCCTGACCAGGAATTCAACCCGTGGCCCTTTGGTGCACGGGATGACTCCCCAACCAACTGAGCCCCACAGGCCAGGGCTGACCTATGCAAAATTTTATGATAAAGAAAAATGCATCTCACCTGGCCGGGTGTGGTTGTGGTTGAGCGTCGACCTAGGATCCAGGCGATCAGGGTTCGATTCCCGGTCAGGGCACATGCCCGGGCTGCGGGCTCAATCAATGACTCTCTCATCATTGATGTTTCTCTCTCTCTCTCCCCCTCCTTTCTTCTCTCTGAAATCAATAAAGATATATTTTAAAAAGAAAAAGAAAAATGCATCTCAACCATTCCTAGAGCTCCTTTGCTTCCAATTTCTTTATTCTGGTCATCCTACCTTGAGTGAGCTTAGGGGGCTTCTGACCATTTTACTTTGTCTATAAGTATTTATTATTCTCTTCCTCTTCTCTATCAAAATTCACTTCATCAGTAAAACTGAGTTTAATTAGATATTAAAAAGAAAAGAAATTAGATACAACTAATTCACGTTACAGTGTGACTGACCAATAACACAATACCCACATCATGTCATCCAGTGTTTTTAAAACCAGGTGTTTCTAAACTCAGTAGATATTGACAGATACCTAATCAGTGAAACAGGATAGGCAGGCATTTCCAAGCAGTGTCTGATAGATCTGGGCCAGGAGAGGAAACCATTTCTGATAGAAGGATCTGTCTTCTTTGGGCATCTCAGCCCTTCCTTTGCATTTCTCCCTCTGGGTCTGCTTAACTCAACTCCAATAGACTGTACTGAAATCTGAATGTACCTTCCCATGTAACTTCCCTTCCCACTATGTCTTTGTGAAACTTATAGCCAAGTTCACAGTCATAATATCACCTTCTCTGTACTCTCCATGTTCTTTCAGAGATACCAGAGCCCATTAATGTTACTTTTTTCTCTCTTTTCTAATGTCCAACCCAGCCTTAGCTCTTTAAAGGTCAAATGCCCCACAAACATCAGCCATGAGTGTTGTCACTATAGCAGGCGTGAGCCCTAGATGGTACCATCTATAGCCTGCTATAGCGACAATACTCATGGCTGATGTTTGTGGGCCACTTGACCTTTAGCTTTTAAGCTTCAGTTTCCTCATCTGCAAAATAGAAATAGTATCAGAACCTAAACAGTTGAAATGTTGTGAGGACTGAATGAGATAAAACAGGTTAAGTTTTTATCTAGCACTTAACACAATAAAAAAATGGGCAAGTAAAAAATGGTTCATGTTGCTATCGTTCTGTTCCCCCATACCCCTCTGCTAACATCTCCCTGGCTCTTAGGTTTCCATTTGCAACCAGTTTTTTTCACATTGAGAGGGAGAGGGTGTAAAG